CTTTCTTCCTGTGTTACGGACGGGAACCACTCACACCACAGCAGCCAACTACACCGGCACACGTCCAAGCCGCACATGACTTCGTCACCACCATGCAGCAGCTATGGGAGAAGACTCAGCGACGTCTCACCACGATGCAGAACTCCCAGAAGCAGTATGCCGATCGTCAGCGACGTGATCACTCAGTAGCAGTCGGAGATCAGGTGCTTCTTGACACGCGCAACTTGAACCTGTCTCACCTCCCATCCAAACTCCGGCCTCGCTTCTGTGGTCCTTTTCTCGTTGAGGCACAGATGACACCAGTTACATTCCGCTTGCGCTTACCAGATACATGGAAGCTTCACAACGCTTTCCATGTCTAGCTACTGAAGCCCTACAAGGACCCCAACCAGCAGTTCCAGGGACGGCAACTACCGCCACCACCACCTGTTCTCATACAGGATGAACCCGAGTACGAGATCGAGCGCGTTCTCTCTCATCGGCGCCGCAGTGGCAAGACTCTCGAGAACCTGATACGCTGGAAGGGATACGACCCCACTGAGGACAGTTCGGTTGCAGAAGCTGATATGGGCACTCACGCCGTGCTCTCAAGGAATATCTTGTCAAGCAGGGTGTATCTCACGCCACCCAGCTTTGAGGGGGGGACGTGTGAGAGTACGACAGCTTATGCCAGCTATGCTTGCTTGCCTTTACTTTTATCATGCTATTTCTAGCATAGGATATTTATATGCATGCATGAATTGCTTGATTTCCTAGGCTAGGTGCTTTCCTATATTTTATTATAGTTATAGCACCGAGCTAGGTTGCGTGCACCGAATTCTGGCTTTTCGGTTGCCACCGAATTGCCTCCTACCGAATTCGGTAAGGATCTGTTCGGGACGCTTCACGACCCGCGGAACCTTCGCGTAACACCTGGTTACGGGGCCTTGTGTCGAGCCTATATATAGCCTCGTGTTGTACCCAGGTGGACATTCAATTCAATTCAATCCAATTCAATTTGAATCATCTTTTCTGAGCTCTATCCCAGATCCTCACAGAGAGTCTGGCGGGACAGGAGACGACACTAGCAGGGCGCAGGCTGAGGACCAGACCTGGACGCTGCAGCAAACACCTGACTCGACGCAGCTACCTGACCAGACTCAGCAGCGAGAGGAGACTCAGTAGTAAGTGTGTACAGGCTCGACCCCAGCCGACGGGTAAACGTGGCTAAGTGTCGGCCCGTCCAAGCCCACGTGCTGTGGGTCACCCGCTGACTCGCAGGAGTGAAGTGGTCAACACCCCTATCCTGTAGGTCAGCTCCACTCACCAAGTTCGTAGAGAACGAGGGGAGGTACAGACCAGACAGGGTGCCAGAGGGGGCTGCCGGGCACGGTAAGACAGTGGAGAAGCTAGCAAGGACAGGACCCCCAGAGGGGTCCGCCAGGGAGACCGCAACCGGTCGACAAAGCGGCGTAAGCGTGGTGCGGTCTCGAAAGAAGGAGCGGGAAGCACCCGAGTCAAGGGTGAAGGCGTGTTAGGCCTGAGCCGACGTAGTACCTGAGAGAGCAGACTCACCAGCACCTGGGGCAGCGGACGCACTAGCACCTAGAGTAGCAGCCTCACTAGCACCTAGAGCAGCAGCCTTAATGCCCGGGTCAGGCGGAACACACAGGTGACAGTCACCCTCATCACTAGTAGGCAATGCATACATGATAGTGAGGATAGCATCATAGTCAAGAGTACAGATATCTACCCGCACCCTAAGTAGCTCCACCAAGTCAGGGAGCTCAGCCGCGTCGCCAAACTCCGTACGCCAAGCGTCGCTCAGACGGGCGAAGCAGCGGGACTCTGTGTGACCACGCGTCCTGCAAGGCTGACCAGTCCGGACACCCGTGCTAATAACGTACGGGCAGCGAGCACTACTCAGCGACCCTCTACCCTGAGCGTACCACTCACGAAGCTGTTGGGGGGTGAGGGACTCACGCGGGCGACGCTGCAGCTGCACCTGGCCACTACAAGCAGCTGTGGAACTACTCACTCCAGGACGACTCCCACTACGGCCACCCCGACAACCCCAACTAGCGTACCACTCACGAAGCTGTTGGGGGGTGAAGGACTCACGCGGGCGACGCTGGAGCAGCATCTGGCCACGCCAGGAGCAGCAGTAGCAGTAGAAAGAGCAGTAGCAACAAGAGCAGCAGTAACAGCAGTACGGGCAGGGCAGTGCTCACTAGTGGCGAGAAGGGCAGGCGTACGACGGCGGCAACGGCGAGGCCGCTACCACCGTAGAGCGAAAGCTCCGCGGCAGCTGCAGGGGTGGCTGCTCCAGGGGCGGCAGTTGTAGGGGCGGCTGCTCCAGGGGCGGCTGCTCCAGGGGCGGCTGCTGTAGTGTCGGCTGCTCCGGGGTCGGCTGCTGCAGTGGCGGCTGCTCCAGGGGCGGCTGCTGCAGTGGCGGCTGCTCCAGGGGCGGCTGCTGCAGTGGCGGCTGCTCTAGGGGCGGCTGCTGCAGTGGCGGCTGCTCCAGGGGCGGCTGCTGCAGTGGCGGCTGCTCCAGGGGCGGCTCGGCTGCTGGGCGACTCGGCGGCTTAGCTGCTCGGCGGCTCGGCGGCTCGGCGGCTCGGCTGCTGGCTAGGGGCGGCGACGGGGCCAGGTAGGGGCGGCGATGGGGCCGCTAGGGGCGGGGAGCGGCGACGGGGCCGCTAGGGGTGGCGACGGGGCCGCGTAGGGGCGGCTACGAGGCCGCGTAGGGGCGGCGACGGGGCCGCGTAGGGAGGGAGGCGGCGACGGGGCCGCTAGGGGCGGCGACGGGGCCGCGTAGGGGCGGCTACGAGGCCGCGTAGGGGCGGCGACAGGGCCGCGTAGGGAGGGAGGCGGCGACGGGGCCGCTAGGGGCAGCGACGGGGCCGCGTAGGGGCGGTGACAGGACCGCGTAGTGAGGGGAGCGGCGACGGGGCCGCTAGGGGCGGCGACGGGGCCGCGTAGGGGCGGCGACGGGGCCGTGTAGGGGCGGCGACGGGGCCGCGTAGGGAGGGGAGCGGCTACGGGGCCGCTAGGGGCGGCGACGGTGCTGCGTAGGGGCGGCGTCGGGGCCGCTAGGGGCGGCGACGGGGCCGCGTAGGGGCGGCAACGGGGCCGCGTAGGGAGGGAGGCGGCAACGGGGCCGCTAGGGGCGGGGACAGGGCCGCTAGGGGCGGCGACGGGGCCGCGTAGGGGCGGCAATGGGGCCGCTAGGGGCCGCGAGGGGCCTGGAAGGGCGGCGACGGGGCCGCTAGGGGCGGCAACGGGGCTGCTAAGGGTGGCCGCGGGGCCGTGAGAGGGGCCTCTAAGAGAGCTCGACAGAAGGGCGGCCCACAATGCGCGCCTCGGGCAGGAGCGATTGTCGCTCCGGTCAGAAAAAAAAGGTTTCAGTGGTGGGCCCAAGGAAGCGTTCCCACTAGGGAACCTGCTCTATACCATGTAAAGAAATGAGGAATGAATGAACTAGCAAGCAGGTGGGTACAAGTAGGAAAACCTAAAAGTGTTGTACCCCATATTGTCTACCCTACTACAGCCTACACAGACTAAAGCATATGAGTTTGACAATTTCCATCTTTCTCCTAAATAAGCTTTCTTTCTTTGGACACCAACTATTGGGGCGGGGCCTTGGGAAATGTTCAGGCTGGCTTGGACATGAGCATCACCAGGCAACCAGTATTGGAAGGTGCATCAAGCCACTCATACGGTGCCTCAATGAGAGAGAAATGAAGAACCAATCTTCATACCACGGTGTTCAGCAGGTGTTCTTCATCTCACACCTGAGTCCTGACCCTAATGCTCATATGCTTGACAAATACGTATGTGCATCAGGCCCTCAGATTCACTTTTAGGGACGTTGATGCATCAGGGTCCCTGTGGAAAAAAGCCTGAATTTTCAGGGTTCCGGAAAACAAAAGCCTGAATTTTCAATCACAACATGCAATTTTGCAAGAGAGCAGCCTTTACAACCATGGTAGTAGAAGATTCGAACCAGAAAGCTTACTGATCGGTATCTACTTCGCTAACCACCAAGCCAGTTCATCGAGTCAATGATCAGATTTTTTAGATAAGATTCTATTATGCGGAAATGTTGGTTGACTTATTGTCTCGGGTGTTTTACGGGAAGGATTCGGAATGTGCATTCAGTGTACACTTCGATAAAAGTCTGAAACATCAGTGTTAGCTATGAAGTAAAGGCTGAAAAAATCAGTGTCACAAAAATCTCAACACTGAAAATTCAGTGTAGGTACACAAAACTAGGCTGAAAATCAGGAATTTCAGGGAAAAATTCCTGATATTGTAGGGCCTGATGTGCATGCACTTGACAACCAGATGCAGCCAGCACTTCCCTCTTGTAGTGGGAGAGAGTATGGTATGGCGCCCCGTCCCACTCACTCCCTGCGGGAGCCATTTCCTGGAATCCTCCGCACCAGATGTGAATATTGTGTACGTATGAATGAATGAGCCAACAAGATTCCCAGCCTCAGGATTTTGTTTTCAATGAATTCGACTGTCTACCATTCAGTCAGCCAGTTCAGATTCTCCGTCTCAGGCCTTCAGTATCACATACGGTATCCTGTATTTGACTAAAACGCAACTATCTACAGTGTTACAATACACGTACCGGTACTCTGCAATCCAGTTGATGCCTTCTTGCACATTGTTACACTGTTACACCTGGAAGTCCCAACGAAACAAGCCGTGCCTCTGGCCGCCAAGAAATGACCTATCTATTGCCCTTCCATCATCCCACTCTGCTGCGCCGCCTGAGCTGTACGCAAAATCGCCGCTGCCCCAAGCATCACTGCCACTGCCACTGCCACTAGGACTGCCAGTACTAACAGTGCTGAAGCTGCCATTGTGACTGGAGCGACTGCTGCTGCTGCTGCTGCTGCTGCTGCTGCTGCTGCTTTCACTCCTGCCTAACCTCGCCGTCTTCTCACCATTCTCCCACCCCTGAGTCCCACCTGCTGCGTCACCCAGCCTGCTCCCAACACCATTCAGCTTCAGGTTCTCTTCACTGGACAGCAGATCTCCGTGCGAAGGGAGTTTAGAGGCAGCCGGCCAAGCTGATGCCACTGCAGGCAGCTGGCTTCCAAGCGACCCTGCTTCACCTGTTGCTGCCCATCCATCCTCCCTGCTCCGCACAACTTGGTCCCCACAACCAGGAAGCCCACTAGTGGCCCTGCCACAACCATTTTGAAGGCCATTTTGAAAGGAGCTACGACCCCTTTCTCCCTGCATTCCTTGCTCATCTCCCTTGCGCATACCATCACCATCATCATCACCATCACGGCCATCACCGCCACCAGCAACACCATCGTTGTCGTCACCATCGTCGTGTTCCTCTTCCTTCCTCTCCTCCTCCTCCTCCTCCTCCTCCTCCTCCTCCTCCTCCTCCTCCTCCTCCTCCTCCTCCTCCTCCTCCTCCTCCTCCTCCTCCTCCTCCTCCTCCTCCTCCTCCTCCTCCTCCTCCTCTTCCTCATTGTCTCCTTCACTGTCATCCTCCATCCCCTCACCCTTTCTCCCTTTCCCACCCTCCCCGCCCTGCAGCGACACCACCACCAGTCGCTCAGCAAGCTCTCTGAAGCGCCCTGCCTGCTCCTCCATACCCTCTGCCGCGTACGCTGCAGCTACCTCCATCATCATCTCCCTCACCATGCCTTCATCTCCCTCTCCCTCTTCACCATCCCTGCTCTCCTCTCCCTCACCCAAACCCCGTCCCCACACCTCGCCACGCCCACCCCTGCCGTCCCCACCCCCTTCACCCCTCCCTCTCGTCCCATCACCCTCCTCCTCGCCCACCTTCACCCCCACCTCCACCCCTCGCATCTCCTCCACTAGCCCAGTGGAGAGGAACGCAGCAACAGCAGCCTCCATGACTCCGATCTTGCGAGCGTGCGCACACGGCACGACAAGCGCATGGAAGGAGGCGAGAGAGGGAGTAACGCCTGCCTCGACCATCGCTGCAAAGACGTCCACCACACGCCCCACTGCCCTGCACCGCCCGAATGCCCGCATTGCTGCTCTGTACAGCTCCTCTCCTGCCTGCAACCCCTGCCCCCACCGCAACCGCTGCTGGTTCGGGTCGGCCTTGAGAGGAAAGGAGGAGTGCTGCTGCTGCACGGACGCTGCAGTAGCTGCACCTGCAGCCGCAGCCGCAGCCGCAGCCGCAGCAGGTGCAGGTACACCATCAGAAGCAGAAGCGGAAGCGGAAGCAGTGGCAGGAGGGGCGAGGAGAGACCAGAGGTGTTCAATGCGGTGCAGCTGGCGGCGCTGGGCGAGGTGCGAGAGCAGCAGCGTGAAGGTGGCTGTGTCTGGGTGGCCCCCACCCGCCATCACCTCGTCAAACTTCCTCCACATGCCGTTCTGCTCACAGGGACCAGACGAGCGTAGCACCGAACCGAGGTGCAGAGAGGGAGAGGAGAAAAGCCAAGGGGGTTGTGAGGGTGAGACGTGAAGTCGGGGTACAAGTGAAGTTGAGCGAACGCATGGGTTTGTTCTGCGTGGGGTGTACTTGAACGCCTTCCACACACATGCGTGTGATGTGACCGAGCAACGACAACCGTTCGGCCACGCATGAGAACCTACTCGCGGCTCAATGCCCCCATGCTCACACCAGTTCCTTGCACCATATTCCAAGTTCCCCTCCCCCCCTCCCTCGCACCATGTCGTTGCGTGCAGCATATGCTGCCAGGGCAGAGTTCCAAGTGACCGTTGAGACCACCCATCCGCGCTCCTGCATGGCTTCGAATGCGCCCTCCATCCTCCCCACCGCGCCCACCGCTCCCAGACACTCTATCAGCACTGAGAGTGTCGCACGGGTTGGTGGCGGCAGCGAATCGTCCGTCGCCATCTGGCGGTGGATGGAGAGCAGGCGCGATGCGCTGCGGTGGCGCGCGTATGCTGACATGGCGGCCAGGTATGTGGCCTGCGGGGGATGCAGTGGCGAGAAGGGTGTAGGTGAGGTGAGGTGAGGTGAGGTGAGGTGAGGTGATGTGAGAGGCTTAAGGCCGAGGCCAGGCAACGATATGGCATGCGGGGATGCCTTGAGGCAGCGCATGCCTGTCCCTGCTCTTGCAGCGCGTGATTTTTGAGAATTCTCAAAAAACACGCGCTACACCAAAGGTGAGGCGAAATTCCAGCGTGAGATCATGGCGACACTTGAAGGACAGCCGGGAGACAAAGTGGGTACAACAGTATCAACGACAAAACAGCTCTCCTTCCCTCCCCTTCACTCCCTCAATCCTTTCCCTTTGCTCCCTCATCCTTCTCCACTGAATTCCCTCCCTCCAATCTCACACCCCATCCCCTTTACACCCGTTTCTTCCCATCCCCCAAACACGCTCCACAATCAATGCACGCACGTGTGTGCGGGCGATGCCGAGCAGCGTCATCTGGTGCCACAGCTGCTCCATGCCTGCCAGTCGCCTGCTCTGCCCCAGCGCGTCCAGCAGAATGTTGAACGACACTGCTGTGGGGCCGCACCCCTCTCCCAGCACCACCCGCACCTCCTCCTCACCGCCCCCCCTGCTGCTGCTCCTCTCTCCTCCTCGCACGCCCTTGCCTACTCTTCCCGTCCTGCCTTTCTCGTAGCCGGTCAGAGGAAACCGGAACTCCACTCTCACAGCCCTTCTGCTGCTGCTGCTGCTGCTGCTGCTGCTGCTGCTGCTGGTGTCGGCTGTGCGTGCTGCTGCTCGCCTCTCCTCCTCCTGCATCTGCTGCTCCCGGCGCTGCACCGCCACCATGCACGCCAGCAGTCGCATGGCCGCATCAAGCAGCATCTCATTCCCCTCTACCCCCTTCTCCCTCCTCTTACTCTCGCCCCTCCTCCCTCTCCTCCCTTCATCCTCTCCCGTCCCAACACCCCGAGAATCCTCCGCGCCCCTTTCCGGCTTGCCAACACGCCCCTTAAGATCCCCGCCTCTCCCTGCCAACCTCCCATCCCCATAAGAATCATCGTCACGTGAAGTAGCAGCAGCAGCAGCGCGGGGAGGGGCGGGCAGCAGAGCAGCAGCACAGAGCGCTTTGAGAAGGGAGTTGCAGACAGAGGCAGAGGGGGGCACGCCCACTAGCTGCATCTCGTCCACCAGCCGCCACACCGGCACCACCACTGCCGCCACCCCATCCGCCCCTGCACCCCCTGCAACCCCACCCTCCCCGTCGCCGCCGCCGCCCCGCACCCCTCCTCCTCTCACCTGCCCTCCTGCTCTACCATCCTCCTCCCCTCGTCTCCTCCTTCCAACTGCCTGCTCCTCCTCTTCCTCACCCCCCTCGTCTCCATCCTCTTGTGGAAACTCGCCATTCCGTACCCCGCTTACCATCCCTACCACACCCCCTCGCTCCCGCTCCTCCCCCCGCGCCCCTCTCAACTGCTCCCTTCCGTCTCTGACCCACACACTTCCTGGCAGTACGCGTGAGTTTCGCCCCGCACCACCCTGCCCTGTGTCTGCCTGGCGGCGCTGCAGCTGGCGCAGGCGAGACTTGGTGAGTAGTGCGATCATCTTGGCATACCACATGGGGTGCGGGCGGAACCACACTCGCCCCTTCACAAACTCAAACACCTGCTCAGCCGCACACACCAGCAGTAGGGGCAGGCATGTTAAATGAAATTACCCTTGAGAGTTGTCAACACGGCAGTGGTGGCGGCGCTGGTGGCTGGCCGGGCGCACACGCAGGCACGTGCAAGAGGAACGGAGATTGGGTTTCGCGAGGAGAGAAACAGATCGGGAGGCGGGTGGAAAGGAGGAAAGATGGAAGGAGAAGAAGCGCAGCAGTGCAAGGAGGCGAGAAAGAGGGTGGCAATTGCGAAGGGTGTGAAGGAACGATGACAAGTTTGAGGGAAAGATGACAAAGAGGACAGCATGGCCCTATCCTCCTCTCTGCCGCCCTATGACCCCTGCACTGCAGCAGCGCTCGCTCACCTCCTTGGTTCTGGCCCATGGTGACCGGGCGGCCACGTGGGAGAGCAGTGACAGCCACATTACACGAGTGCTGCCAAACGACGCCGCCTCCGCCGCTCTCAGCACGGCAATGCGCCCCCGCGCGTCCCGCTGCTGCCGCAGCAGCAGCGCCACCTGCAGAACCGTCTTTTCTCCCCGCCCCTCCCCCCGCTCCGCCCTCTCCCCCCTCCTGCCCCGTCCGTCGCCCTCTGCCCCGCTGTCTCTCCCCTCCTGCGTCCGTTCCGCCTCCGCCCATGTCCCCCAGGCTCTTCCCCCGTCTGTGCCCGCCAGCCCCGCCTCCCCGGCGGGCTCCGCGCTGCTGGAGGGCGCGCGCATGCTCTGCGCGCGCGCCTCCCCCGCTTCGCGCGCGCGCCAGCTGCTGGTGCCGTCCGGCCCTGCCCACCGCTCCTCACGCCTAGAGCTTCGCGCCACAGCATTGGGAGCACCATCAGCAGCAGCAGCAGCAGCAGCAGCAGCAGCAGCAGCAGCAGCAGCAGCAGCAGCAGCAGCACCAGTATCAGCATCAGACTCAGAATCGGAATCAAAAGCAGCAGCAAAGGCAGGGTCATCGGGAATGTACGGAGAGCCATCCGCAGCGAACCAGCCTCCCACATTCCGTGGCCGCCCCGCCCCAACCGCGCGCCGCCTGCTCCCAGCGCGGATCCCGCCGGAACGCGACTCGTAGTTGCGCGGAGTGGGGGGAACCCAGAGGCGCTCCGTGTCCATGTGCGATCCCACGTCCGCGCTGCGATCCGCCTGCCTCCTACTGCTCCCCTGACCGCGCCTTCCGCCGTTGGAACCCCTTCCCCTCCCTGCCCTGTCGCTCCGCCCGCTCTCCGCCTTTCCGGCGCTTCCGCGCGTGCCTCCCCACCGCCCCTTGTCATCCGACCACGTCCTCTCGTCCCTCCGCTCCTCTTCCCCTCTCCACCCACTTTCACCCGCGCTGGTTCTCTCTCCTTCCGCCCACTCCGCGGCGTCCCGTGCGCGCCCATCCTTCCCGCCACCTCGACCCCCCCGTTTCCCCTTACCCCGCGGCCTAATTCCGCTAGTCAACTGGCGTCTCTCCCCTTGTCGCCTGCGCGCACGCGGCTCATCTCCCCCGCTGACTTCCCCGCCCGCCTCCCTTCCCTCCTCAGCCCTTCCCCCTGCCCGGCCGATCTCTTCCCTCCGCGATCGTCGCGGGCTCACCCGTACCCGCCGCGAGGTTCCGCCAGGCCGAGGCGCCTCGCCGTCGCTCGCATCGCCGCCGCTGTCGCGAGCGTCGTTGCTCCACGCTGTTTCGCAAATTTCGTCTCTCGTCGAGCCGCGCGCGCCGGGGCTTGCTTGCGCAGCTGCTGCTCCCCGATCACGTTCTCGGGAAAAGGCGGCTCGATCGGGTGATGCGCAGCAGAGAGCGGCGGCCTGGGTCGCACTGCCGTAATTGGCGGCATTTGCGAAGCTGGTACTGCCGGGGGCGTGACATGAACGGCACGAGGCGAGGAGTAAAGGGAAGGCGGATTGCGATACCACGGCAAGGGGCATGCTGTGAGTGACGAGACGGCAATGGCCTCTTCGACTTTTGCTAAGGTCACGGTTCTGGGCGAAGTTTGCCCGCCATCAGCTCAAAATGGCCCTCAATGACGTGTAAAAACACCCTATCATTGGTCATCACACAAGTTTCCAGATATATTGGAGCATGGAAGCCAGTCAGACGTGTACGTCCGTCTACACTTGTCCCTACTTCGGATGGCGGGCGAACTTCAGAACCGCGATCTAAAGACGCAATGACCACCTTCTTCCCTGCTCCTAACCTCGCTTAGCACCCGACCCGACATGCAAGCTTGGGTTGACGAGGAAAACATCCAGAATGTACACCTGCTGTCCAGCCTAGTCACGTCGCTTTAGATGTTACCTTACTATGTGTATTTGAACGGAATTATGTCTACGGATGTGAGATTCTCATTTAGAATTCTAAAAAAGTGCGCAAATGCGAGTCGCCAGTGACAAAGGCACATCACTCTGAAACCCCCCTGGGTGGCAGTGGAGTGTGATACATAGAGTCCTGGTTTGTTTCTTATAATGTGCGGCTAATATGGTAGGCGCTGTATACGTTAAGAGCTGTGTTTATGGACAAACGATTGAAATGCCATAGAATGGCCGTAATATTATGAGGGCAAGAGAAAGGGGAGGAGTGGGGGGAGGGCAGGGGGAGGTCCATATAATATTTTTGTCAGTACAGCTACACTATGAGATCCCCGATCGATCCTGGAGAGGGTTACAGGCGCGCTCGCCTGGGGGGTTATGGGCGCACTGACCCGCTACTGAAACGAGCCCTTTTATCCCAATGGTCTAGTGGTTAGGATTCTGACATGGTATCAGAGCGGTCTCGGGTTCGAATCCCGGTGTATGCACATGTTGGCCGTTGCCACTATGCTCAGTCCTGGGCCTCCCAGTGTGGGGGGGTGTCAGTAGAGCTACACTGTGAGATCCCCGATCGATCCTAGGGGGGGTTACAGGCGCGTTTGCCTGGGGGGTTATGGGCGCACTGACCCGCTACTGAAACAGGCCCTTTTATCTCAATGGTCTAGTGGTTGGGATTCTGACAATTTTCATCACAAAATATAATATAGCTCTAAATGTACCAAAATATAATTACCACCAGGGGTTTTTTTATCTAAGTAAATTACTCTATTTCTCTAAAAATCAGAGTGGTTTTTAGGGGGTCGCTCTGACGTGTCTGGGTAATGTTTTTGGAAGATAAGTTTGCTCTGATTTGTCAGGGTTATGATTTTAGCTACTCTGAGAGACTAGTGTATATTTGTGGCGAATGAATTTTTCTCTGTACAGGGTATAGGCATTTTGACCGAGTCCCCCCACCCCCCAATTGGTGGAAGATGGTTAGGCCGACAAAAAACGAATATATAAATTCTGTTAGACTGTAGTTGTAAGCGCGTAGCACAACGGTTAGACAGAAGGCCTAGGTTCAATACTTGAGAGGACACTCAGAGTTGGTAAAGTGTTTAGACTGACTGCCTAGAGCATATTTTTCAGAAGTTAAGTTTTCTCTGACAAATCAGAGTAACGCTCATGATTAACCCTGAATTTCAGAGTTCCCTAGAAAACAGCTCTGGAAATCCGAGTAGTGGAAAAAAAACAAGAGGCGACTAGGTCGTCCTAGGGTTGCGAAGCGAATCGGTACGATACTTTTTCACTTTAGTGTAGTATGAAACCTGTAGTGTACTAGAAAATGGTACTTCCTCTTTCGTAAAAAGCCTTGAATAATTACTACTGCTGGAATTGATCCTTAAACCTTTCAGCTCCCAATAGACGTTCGTCCGACTGGGCAAACGCATATGCGTTAGCCTCGTATCGTATTTTATTAGTCTTTTGTTTTTAGCGACGTATGTGTCTTTGCGTTAGGGTTTGTCCAACCCTTTTCTTTCTCCCTGCCTCTCGCCTTTCGAGCCAGTCACGCCAGTTGATTCCCCCGCGAGTCACGCTACTCCACCTAGAGATGCAAGGTGAGATCAACCTTAAGTAATAATCTAGAACTAAGTTAGGTGATTAAGAACTAGCCTATCGTCCCTAACTATCGAATCCTAATCGTTTACTCTAGTCTTGGCCGTCTTTAAAATATCCAGGTTGTTAAAGGTTAGGTTCTAGACTTGTTGTGAGTACTTAAGTTTGAAGTCGTTTGTAAGCCTGCATGTGTTCTTTAGTTCCTCATCGTCCCTTTCCTTTTATCGCATCCTGGTCACCTCGTAGTTGCACATGTTTCTTTGACATTCTAACTTCATTTTCTCTTCTGTTCTTTCTATATAGATTTGAATACTTAACCTTCATTGCCTTAGTTTATAGATTGAACAGATTTTTATTGAACCACATTTCAGTTTTTGTTATGTGCTCCTTGTTTATTGCCACCACCCATACATATCTTCTCCATTTCGTTTCTGAGCTCTATATACCCTTGCCTTTCAGTTTTCATTCCGTTCAGTCATGAGGTACTCATTCAACGGGCGTCCCCTTTCAACTATGCACGATCTAATCGTAGCTAGGTGAGTTCGTTCTATTGATCTTCTTTTTTGTATTTCGCCTCTCATCTTTTTCTCTTATCTGTTCCTCTTTCTGTATTGATCTCGACTTTAACCTTGTTCGTTAACCATGAAATTCTGTTTGTTTCCGTTGCATCTCGTTTCCTTTTCAACAACTTTTCTCTTGTTATGGGTTATTCTACGTTGTACATTCTTTGTTAACCAGCACCCGTTTATAGTTTTGAACGTTCCTCTTATTGGGCTTCTTAAATCGGTTTCTTAGTTCTTTGTTCTTTTCTCACCTATCTATGTAGATTGATATTTGTAGAATACCTTCTGTTTGTTGTTGTTGTTGCACATAGTTTCCTTTCCACATTATTTTCTCTTGTTTCTCTGATCCTTTTGATTTTCTGTTTCACCTCTTTCCGTATGCTTCTTTCAGCGTGTTTGTTATCGGATTCTTGTATCCATGTTAACTAGTTTTTTTTGCTGAAAATTTGATGTATCAAATCAGTTCAGCACGTGTATTGTATCATTGCTAGAATTCTTAGCGTTTTTGTGGTACAATTATGCACCTTATCCTTACTGTTCCGCATTTGTCTTTCTTTTTTCTTTCTATTGCTGATTCTTTCCAACAGACCTTGCTGTTTTCTTCAGGAAGTGAAGGTTAATCTGGACGGTGCAAAGATACAGATGGTTCCGTGTAGGATTATATCTTATTGCTAGGGTTTAATTTTGCTCCTGTTTTTTTTTGTTGAAAACAGTTGATGCATTGAGCGTTTTTTTATTTGTGTGAATGTGTGTGATCATGTGTCTGCGTTTGTATGTGTTCATGTGCGTGTGTGTGTATGTGTCGTATTGTGTATGTATGTGCTTTTGTTCATGCTTCCATTGCATTAATAACACATGTCTGTGGGTTTTAAAAAATAGGATCAAACTATCATTTCCGAGAAGGTTCTTTGCGCACTCAGTGAGTGTGTCCATTCGAACTGGATTTGATGGAATTGACCTTTTTTTTAGATCGCACAGATTGTGTTGTTTTATGTCATAGTTGGATGGCTCAGGAACTATGCTATTGAGCTCCCCCCCATGCTAGGCAGGGGATGCGGTAGCATAGCGTCTGGGTCAGTTAACTGTGACGCATTTTCACTATGCATTCATTTCATTACCATAGTTATATATGCGATATAATAATGCATTTTCCATTTAATATTTAGATCACCATTTCATCATTATACATCATATACGCATAACATCATCTGGCATATGCGTTACGGAATAAGCAGTCGCACGTTCACAATATCATTTTGGCAACCCATAGAGTATGGGTTCTGTTAAAACAAACCGGGAAATGAGAAGGAATGAGGTAAGGGGAGTGTGCTAAATTGCAGTGGCAAATACATGGCACTCAGTCGCTTTGTTACCGTTCACTAGTTTTTCTTCATCCTTCATTTTTTGAAGTAAAGAGGATGAAAAAAAAAATTGTACATAACGATTGTAATAGGTTGCTTCGCAACCCAAAAAAAAAAAACCCTGATGACCACCATGTATTACAGTTATGAAGGTCTATCACTTAGAAGTTCTTTATATGGGGAATTACGATAGTATGCTTCGAGAGCAGAAGCGTGAGATGTTTTTTTTTTTAAGAGCATGAAAGTATAACGATGCAACAGTGACACAATGAAGGACCAAACAATTTGGCTAGGTCATAAAATGGAAATTGTTCAAAGGCGATGCAAGCATATATGTACTTACAAGTTGGGATTGTACACATTGACCTGGTTCTTATTACGATACCATACAAACCACACAATGAAAAAAAAAACTAAAAGAGAGAGGATAATTATTTCAAAAGTTGTTGCGTCATGGCCGACCGTGCAAAAATGGTGAGATAGAAGTCCCTCCATAAAAATAAGGTGGGAAAGCGGGTGCGCAAATCAAATGACATGATCATGAACGAATAAAAATCATAAGCTCACAAAACAATCGGCCCATCCGTCCTCCTACAGCAGATCTTTTCATGTAGCTTCCAGAGTGTTTGCATCATCCATCATGAGCACTTCATTTAAGAAAATAACATACAATTGAAAATGCCGCAGAGATACTACAACAACTTCTAGCAAAATGAAATATAAAAGGGAGCCCATTTTGGTACCAATGTAAATATAATGCTTTTGAGATTAGATAGTGTTACGATATGAAGTTTTATGAGAAGGCATTCCTGTATGCTGCAGGAGCCGACTCTACCGAGTACGAAGTCGAGAAGCCAGAAGAGTCGAAGCGGCGCAGCAACCGCCTGACCAAGACCGATGCAGGCAGAAACATTTGAGATGAAAATGTCAGAATGTATTTGCTGTCTAGCCTGCAGTGGGGTACTCTGTAATGAGTACAACCCAATTTAGGGTGTTGTACTTGTATCCCAACTCTTGCTAGTGAAACCACTCATTCTCCTTTCAACTTTCTCGACATTGATCTCACACCCTAAAACTCGAACTCTCTCCTAAGCTTCCATGGCTCCTAAGCCTAAGTCACGCTAGTTATTTTAACATGGTATTCAGAGCAGGTGCCTTCCTGCTGCCTTCTTGCTTCCGCTGCCTATCGTCTTGCCGCGCGCCTCGGGCGCGCGGCGATTTTCTGCCCGCCGTGTGCTCGGGGCGCACGGCGGGCGCGCGGCGGGTTCCTACCTCGTCGCGGCGTCTTGGGGGCCCGCGCACTGGCCCCGACCGTCGCCTCGTCGCGGCGTTTTGGGGGCCCGCACGTAGGTCCCTCCCGTCGCCTCGACGCGGCACTTTCGGGGCCCGCGAGCCGGCCCCTCCCGTTGCCTCGTCGCGGCGCCTTAGGGGCCTGCGCGCGGTCCCCTCTCGTCGCCCGTCGAGGCACTTTCGTGGACCTGCGCGGCTCCCTAGCACGTCGCCCTTCAGGGCACAATGGGGGCCGCGCCCTTCCCCTCCCCTCCCTCCTAATTTCCGCTGCAGCAGCCGCCCCTGGAGCAGCCGCTGGTGCAGCAGCAGCCCCTGGAGCAGCAGCGGCAGCCCCGGGACCAGCCGCCCCAGCAACAGCAGCCCCTGGAGCAGCAGCCCCAGCAGCAGCAGCCCCTAGAGCGGCCACCCCAGCAGCAGCAGCCCCTGGAGCAGCCGCTACTGCAGCAGCCGCCCCAGCAGCAGCAGCCCCTGGAGCAGCAGCAGCAGCCTCGGGACCAGCCGCCCCACCAGCAGCCCCTGGAGCAGCAGCCCCAGCAGCAGCAGCCCCTGGAGCCGCCCCAGCAGCAGCAGCCCCGGGAGCAGCCGCCCCAGCAGCAGCCCCTGGAGCAGCAGCCCCAGCAGCAGCAGCCACTGGAGCAGCCGCCCCAGCAGCAGCTGCCCCAGGAGCGGCCACCCCAGCAGCAGCAGCCCCTGGAGCCGCCGCTACTGCAGCAGCAGCCCCTGGAGCAGCAGCAGCAGCCCCAGCAGCAGCAGCAGCCCCTGGAGCAGCCGCCCCAGCAGCAACCCCTGGAGCACCAGCCCCAGCAGTAGCAGCCACTGGAGCAGCCGCCCCAGCAGCAGCAGCCCCTGGAGCAGCCACCCCAGCAGCAGCAGCCCCTGGAGCCGCCCCAGCAGCAACAGCCCCGGGACCAGCCGCCCCAGCAGCAGCAGCAGCCCCTAGAGCAGCAGCCCCAACAGCAGCAGCCCCTGGAGCGGCCACCCCAGCAGCAGCAGCCCCTGGAGCAGCCGCTACTGCAGCAGCCGCCCCAGCAGCAGCAGCCCCTGGAGCAGCAGCAGCAGCCCCGGGACCAGCCGCCCCAGCAGCAGCCCCTGGAGCAGCAGCCCCAGCAGCAGCAGCCTTTGGAGCAGCCGCCCCAGCAGCAGCTGCCCCAGGAGCGGCCACCCCAGCAGCAGCAGCCCCTGGAGCCGCCGCTACTGCAGCAGCAGCCCCTGGAGCAGCAGCAGCAGCCCCAGCAGCAGCAGCCCCGGGAGCAGCCGCCCCAGCAGCAACCCCTGGAGCACCAGCCCCAGCAGCAGCAGCCACTGGAGCAGCCGCCCCAGCAGCAGCAGCCCCTGGAGCAGCCACCCCAGCAGCAGCAGCCCCTGGAGCCGCCCCAGCAGCAACAGCCCCGGGACCAGCCGCCCCAGCAGCAGCAGCCCCTGGAGCAGCAGCCCCAGCAGCAGCAGCCCCTGGAGCGGCCACCCCAGCAGCAGCAGCCCCTGGAGCAGCCGCTACTGCAGCAGCCGCCCCAGCAGCAGCAGCCCCTGGAGCAGCAGCAGCAGCCCCGGGACCAGCCGCCCCAGCAGCAGCCCCTGGAGCAGCAGCCCCAGCAGCAGCAGCCCCTGGAGCCGCCCCAGCAGCAGCAGCCCCTGGCCCCTACAGCAGCCGCTCCTGGACCCGGTGCAGCCGTGGGGGGGTGGGTGTGGGGGTGATAGTTGTGGGGGTGTCGATTGTGCGTGCCGTCCCCTCCTCCTCCTCCTCCTTCGTCTCCCACTGCTGCAGCTCTTGCTGAGGGGGGTGGATGTGTGGGAGTCTGGGGTTTAGGGTTTAAGGGGGTGCTGTGGGTGTAGGGCTAGGGTTTGAGCAGGGGGTGTGTGAGAGGGGTGCTGGGCAGCTGGGGGAGGTTGAGTGGAGGCAGCAGTCTTGTCGTCTGCAGCAGCAGCAGTCCGGAGGCTACAATCTCCGGTAGTCGCCAGTCGCCCGTCGGTCCGTTGCTCGTCTGCCGCTACTTTTAGCCGCGGGGCCAGTTACTCCAGTAGTCCGGAGCGCTGTTCCGGTAGCCACTGAGCCAGCAGGTCGTCTCTATGTCTGCAGCGTCAGCAGTCGCTTCCCATCTTCTCTCCCCCACAGTCTCTCCTCCTCCTCACTTGCCCTCTGTGATTAGCTCTAGCCTTACTTACCTATTGTGAACTCTTGCCCTATGCTTGCTCATTGTGCTGATTACTCCCCACTTTGGCTATGGGGGTGTGTCATAATGTATTTGCTGTCTAGCCTGCAGTGGGGTACTCTGTAATGAGTACAACCCAATTTAGGGTGTTGTACTTGTATCCCAACTCTTGCTAGTGAAACCACTCATTCTCCTTTCAACTTTCTCGACATTGATCTCACACGCTAAAACTCGAACTCTCTCCTAAGCTTCCATGGCTCCTAAGCCTAAGTCACGCTAGTTATTCTGACAGAAAAGAGCGGGAGCTGGTTCAAAACAGGTTCCCGCGCCGCACGGTTTGAATTTGCTGTAATAAGGGATTGTACCCCTTAGAGTACATGGCTAGTCTAGGTCTTTTCGTATTCCCCTGTATTCTTATATAAACTCGATGTATGCATGCTATTATCAACTCAGTCATTTACATTCACTCTGACCTGAGATTCAAACTTCCGCTGCTATACTTCCATGCGATTAACCCTGAGCGATCCTTCGCTAAGTCCCACTTGGGATTGTAACAGATAGTATATCTAAACATTTTGATTCATGGTTATGTGTTTTGTCATGGTGTATACGTTAGATAGATTTACGGTCAAATGTATCATGTAAAAAAAACATCTTTGAAGAACAAAGAATGTGTCATAACGTCAAAATAAAAGGCACACAGTTTACGCATACGCATACTGCAATCTCCAATTTTTTGGGTATGCAGAAGGTATATATGCACACTTAATAAACTATAGCTGCAAAAATACAAAGAGTTTTTATATATTTCTCAATAAAATGTATTTACATTATTCAAAAGATCAATATTTTTACTTGCAGTCACATTTTTTTTTGTTATGACAACGACAAAGGCAGGCAAAATAGGTATGCATGTTTTTTTACCAATAGTGCACATCAACTTATGTGGCGTTGATGAGAATCTATTGCACAGTGGTACACATGATGCTCAACCACCGCCCGCAAATTTTCCCTGTCCATATTCGATTCCCTGCCCACGAATAATGGTGCCCAGAAGTTGCACCCAGTTTACAAGCCCACCCGAGCAAGTTGCAGTGAACTAATGGTAACGAAGTGACGGACGTTAACTGGCAATGCAGTGATGATGAACCAATGGTAACAAAGAGACCGATGTCAATCTGTCAACGTGCAAATATTCAGTTTATAAGCACTTTTCTGCCTGCTGCGACGTTGATGAAGCCTTGCAAACTGCAAGTCTCTCTTAAAAGCCCAAAATGTAGGGCAAGTATGGGTGACTCCGATGAGAATTGAGTGTACACAACAGGGTGCCTGTTCATTTCAAGGTAAAAACACCTATTTTTGTAGAATCGGAATATTCCTGCAAAACAAGCTTCTGCTTCGTCTCTCTCTCCCCACGCGGAGTCCCTCCCTCCCATCCAGCCAAATTCCTCATCTTGTCAATCTCACCCACAAAACCCTAACATATATTTCAGCCTCGGCTTCTGTAGCTCGCATTTCTCCATTAGTAGTTTATGTCGCTCCTATCCGCTGGTTCTCCTCCAATCTAGCGTACCATATGTCAGCTAGATTTTCTTGGAATCTCATATCTTCTCTTGAATGCGTCCATCAGCATTAGGTCCGAGCTTGGGCTGACCGTTGTCTTTCACGCCTTGATCTCTTGTCTCCATCCCATAAGTCGGCGTTTGGTGCTCTAGAATACAAATTTATTCCCGTTAGTGGGCTGTTCCTTTAAAAGCTCGCCAAGATGAGGATCATGATAAAGGGAGGGGTGTGGAAGAACACGGAGGATGAGATATTGAAAGCGGCGGTGATGAAGTACGGCAAGAACCAGTGGTCGCGCATCTCGTCGCTGCTCGTGCGCAAGTCGGCGAAGCAGTGCAAGGCGCGGTGGTACGAGTGGCTGGATCCGAGCATTAAGAAGGTGCGCGCGTCAGTATACATTAAGTAGTCGTCCTCTGTGTGCGTGGACGTCGCTGTCCCGATTAGCGTTTCCGCATTTTGAACGTCAGACTGATTACTTCGCACATAGTAGATGTGGTGATGATTACGGCTGTATTGCCCTGGTTCTTGATTGCTTTGCCAGATGCACTTTTCGGTCCATTCCACCATTCTTTGCTGAATTTAGGAAATTCAGGCGAGCAACCTCATACAATTCTGCGCGAATGTCTACAGGATGCCGTTTAGCTGGCTTCCGGCCTCTCGTAGAGATTATTGCAGGAATCTTTTTTCATGTTTACCCGCCCTGGATGTTACACCTGTTATGTTCCGGGTCAGCATGCCTTTAACGGGTCGATTCAATGTATCGTCAGCGCGTCGCGTGTACTCGCGTGGCGCTGTAGGTGCCGTGTGTGGTTTGATCGGTTCTACTTTCTTTTCTTCCTCGTGCCACCCCAAGCAAAGGATTCAGAGTTCGTTGCTTCCCCTTCTCACTCTTCCCCCCCCTATTTTTCTTGTTTGTTTCCCTGCCTCACATCTCCCGTCTTCACGTGGTCCCTCTTTCGTTGCGTGTGCGTGTGCGCCTGCGCGTGTGCCGTGCAGACGGAGTGGACGCGCGAGGAGGACGAGAAGCTGCTGCACCTGGCGAAGCTCATGCCCACGCAATGGCGCACCATCGCGCCCATCGTCGGCCGCACGCCCGCGCAGTGCCTCGAGCGCTACGAGAAGCTCCTCGACGCCGCCTGCTCGCGCGACGACTCCGCCGCCGCCGGCTACGACGCGTCCGACGATCCGCGCCGCCTGCGCCCCGGCGAAATCGACCCGAACCCCGAGGCGAAGCCGGCGCGGCCGGACCCCGTTGATATGGATGAGGACGAGAAGGAGATGCTTTCGGAGGCGCGCGCGCGCCTGGCGAACACGCGCGGAAAGAAGGCGAAGCGCAAGGCGCGGGAGAAGCAGCTGGAGGAGGCGCGGCGGCTGGCGTCGCTGCAGAAGCGGCGCGAGCTGAAGGCGGCGGGGCTGGAGGCGAATTACCGGCGGCGGAAGAACAAGGGGATCGACTATAACGCGGAAATTCCGTTCGAGAAGAAGCCGCCGCCCGGGTTCTTCGACACGAGCGGCGAGGAGGCGAATTCCGTGCAGCCGCTGCGGTTCCCCGTGACGCAGGAGGAGCTGGAGGGCAAGCGGCGCGCGGACGTGGAGGCGGCGGCGCGCAAGCACGACGCGGCGGCGAACAAGATGCGGCTGCGCCACGACGCGCCCGCCAGCGTGCTGCAGGTTCTCGAGGGTGGGGGCGAGCAGGGTGGGCGCGGAGGGGGAGAGGATGTATGAGGGGGTGAGGGGTGGGGCATGTGTTGGCGGGGCGAGGGTGTGAGGGCATGATCATGAATGGTGGTCCACGATGGCTCTTCTCGTTCTTCCCTTCCTCCTTTCCCCTCCCCCCCCCCCCCCCCCCCCCCCCTCCCCATGCTTCGTTTCCTCACAAACTCGCTGTTCCAAGTGCCTTTTTCCACAATCCTCTCTCGCCTCAACCCCACGGGCTTCCCCGCCTCTCGCTGCTCCTCCTGTCATATGGTCTCATGTGCACCTCCTCGCCCTTCTCGCCTGTTTTCTTTCTTTTTAGACTCCAGCGTTTCTTTGTTACCTCGTTTGTGCTTTCTCACTTCTCTCGCACTCCCCTTCCTTACCTCTTCTTTCCCCGCCTTCTCTCTCACCTCCTCTCTCTCCCCTTCTCTCGCCTCGTTTCACCTCTTTTACCCCATCCGCGCTTTCCCGCACTCTCCCCCTCCCCGCACTCTCCCCTTCCCCGCACTCTCCCCTTCCCCGCACCTTCCCGGCACTCTCCCCTTCCAATCGTCACTCCACACCTTGCGCGCATCTCCGCAGGTGAACCAGCTCAACGATCCGGCGGCGGTGCGCAAGCGCTCCAAGCTCTCTCTGCCCGCGCCGCAGATCTCGGACCAGGAACTGGCGGCGATCGCTAAGATGACGCACGCCGCCGACGCGCTCGCCGCCAGCGAGGACGGCGACCCCGCGACGCGCGCGCTGCTCGCCAGCTACGGCCAGACGCCCGCGCACGCCGCCGCCGCCGCCGCGCTCACGCCGCTGCGCACGCCGCAGCGCACGCCCGGGGGCAAGGGCGATGCGATCATGATGGAGGCGGAGAACCTGGCGCGGCTGAGAGACACTCAGACGCCGCTGTTCGGCGGACAGAACCCTGACCTGCACCCCTCGGACTTCTCAGGTATCACTCCGCGGAAGAAGGAGGCGCACACGCCCAACCCGCTCGCCACGCCCTTCCGCACGCCCGGAACGGCCGTGGGGATGACCCCGGGCGGGCTGGCGCTGGCGGGGGCGGGCGCGCCGGGGAGCGTCCGCGGGGCGTCGGTTGGCGGAACGCCCGGGAAGGACTCGGTGTTCGGCGCGACGCCGTCGGAGGGGATGGTGACGCCGGGAGGTGAGAGCGTGCGCGCGGAGAAGCTGCGGCTGGCGGAGGTGCGCGAGAGCTTGCGCCAGGGGCTGGGGTCGCTCCCCGCGCCCAAGAACGAGTACTCCATCGTCGTCCCGGACTTGCCTGAGGACGAGCGCGCGGAAGGCGCGCGGGGCGCGGGCGAGGACGGGGACGAGCAAGACATGGAACTGGACATGTCGGAGGTGCAAGAGCGGCAGGAAGCCGCCAGGCGCGCGGAGGAGGAGGCGCGGCTGCGCAAGCGGTCGCAGGTGCTGCAGCGGGAGCTTCCGCGGCCGTCGGTCGCGGCTGTGAAGCGGGTGGTTGATGCGGCGGGGAAGGGGCGCGGAGGGGGAGGCGTGGGCGCGGGCGTGACGCTGATGGAGCGCGCGGAGGAGATGGTGCGCGCGGAGCTGGCGCTGCTGCTGCAGCACGACGCGGTGGCGTATCCGTTGCCGCCCGGGGCGGAGGGCACGGGAGGGGGCAAGGAGGGGAAGCGGAAGAAGGGCGGGAGGGGCGAGGACGGGAGTACAGCGGGGTTGGAAGCGGTGGAATTGGAGGACGTTGAGGAGGATCTCATGCAACAGGTGGGTCGCTCACTTGGGCTCGGCGCGCTGGGCATTTGTCAGGCGAGAAGTTCTTTTGAAATTAGAGGACTTGGGGAGGGTCTCATGCAACAGGTGCGGTGGTCGCGCGGGCTCAGTGCGCGCGCGAGAGAGATATTTCTGAGTGTTTTTGACGTCTCTCGCAAGTCTGGGCTCAGCGCGCTGGGCAGTGGGCAGGCGGATAGGGCTTGTGGAACGACGCTGCAGTGCTTCGTGATCAGGCCGCACGGCTATTGGAAGACGCTGCCTTTGTGTAGAATGAATTGGTGGGGGAGGGGAGAAGGGGTTGGGAGAAGCTAGCTTAATATTGGAAAAGGTGGATGCGAGCTCAAGCGTTTGCTCATTCGGAATTGATGAGGGCTGTGTGGATTAACGTTGACATGGAAATCGTGGGTGGGTGGCATGTTCGTCGTATGCCTGTGTGGTTAGAAGATGCACGGCAGGAGGTGGGATGATGAAGCGGGTTGCGTCAGTGCGGCGCTGTTTACTGTGTGCGCTATTGCCGCATTCCCAGACTGCTTAGCCGACCACTCATTCTGCAATGCTACTGCACCCTCACTGCCTCCATGTGCTCTCACCTCGCCCAACGCCCACTCCCTCCCCCATTTCCCGTCCCCTCTTCCTTCTCTTCCGCATCCCCTTCTCGCTCGCGTCCCTCTCCCTCCCCCCAACCTTTCCCCTCACCCCTCCTTTACCCTCCCCACCCCCACCTACCCCTTCTCCCCCCCCCCCCCCCCCCCACCCCACCCCCCCGCCCTCCCCCCATGCTCTTCCAAATCCTTCCTGTGGCGCCAACAGGCGCGGGCGCTTCTGAGCGAGGAGGCGGGGTACGTGCGGATGGCGCTGGGGCAGGAGGACACGGGCGCGGACGAGTGGGGGGAGGCGTGGGAGGCGTGCGCGGACGACCTCGTCTACCTGCCCGCGCAGGCTGCCTGGGGGCTGGCGTCGCTGGCGGCGAGCGCGGATGTGGTGGCGGCGCTGCGCCCTGTGGCGGAGAGAGTGGGCAAGGCAGCGGAGAGCGAGGGGAAGAGGTGCAGCAAGCTGGAGCACAAGACCAAGATCATGTCTCATGGATACCAGGTGCGTGGCGGAGGGGAGGGGAGGACGGACGGGGAGAGGCAGGGGGAGGGAGGGCGGGGTGGGAGGGGAGGGCGGTTGGGGAGGACGAGGGGGTGTGGACGGTGGGTGTGTGTGAGGTGGGGATGGAAGGGCGGAGTGGGGATGCATGGGGAGGGAAGGGGTTTGATCTGCTTTGATGCGTAAGACCAGCTGCTGCTGTCTATAGCTTTGTTCCCCCCTACACACACCCTCACTCCCCCCGTTCCCCCTCAACCACCTTCCCATTTGCTTTACCACACGGGATTCATTCGCCGTCTTAGCTTACAAACATCTGGCACCCATCAAATCCACTCTCAAGCAAACTCCTTCATCCCTCGTCACCTTCTCCCATCATCCGCCTTCCACCCTCCCTCCCGCTCCCGTGCGCTACTTCTCCCCCTTCCCCACCCCTCTTCCCCACCCCCCTTCCCCCTTGCTTACACTCCTGCAGAACCGTGCAGAGGCGTTGTGGAAGCAGGTGGAGGCAGCACACAGAGAGGCGGGTACTCTAGCAACGGAGCTGCAGTGCTTCCGTGCCCTGCACGCGCAGGAGGTGCTAGCGGCGCCCCGACGCATAGAGACTCTGCAGGGTGATGTGGCAGGCGTGACGGAGCGGGAAAGAGCGCTGCAGTTGCGGTATGAGAACCTGCTGGTGGAGAGACAGCACTGGCGCAAGGTGGTGGCGGAGGGGGAGCGGCGCAAGGCGGAGGCGGAAGCTGCTGCTGCTGCTGCTGCTGCGGCAGAGGCTGAAGCGAAGGCTAAGGTTAAGGCAGAAGCTGCTGCGAAAGAAGCAGTTGCTGCTGCAGCAGCAGAGAGAGAGAAGGAGAGGAAGTTGGAAGAGGAGAAGGAGAAGGAGAAGGAGAAGGAGAAGGAGAAGGAGAAGGAGAAGGAGAAGGAGAAGGAGAAGGAGAAGGAGAAGGAGAAGGAGAAGGAGAAGGAGAAGGAGAAGGAGAAGGAGAAGGAAGGGGAGAAGGAGAAGGAAGAGGAGAAGGAGAAGGAAGGGGAGAAGGAGAAGGAGAAGGAAGGGGAGAAGGAGAAGGAAGAGGAGAAGGAGAAGGAAGGGGAGAAGGAGAAGGAAGAGGAGAAGGAGAAGGAAGGGGAGAAGGAGAAGGGGGAGGATGCAATGGATGGGGTGGAGGGAGAGAAGGAGAAGGAGAAGGATGGTTCATGTGATGGTGATGGTAAGGGAATGGAGGAAATGGCTTCTGAGGCAAGAGAGGGTGCAGGTGAGGAGGACGGGAGACCTGGGGAAGGCGAGGAGCAGGGGCAAGGGGCGAACGCAGAGGGAAGCAGAGCAACAGAAGCAGAGGCGGAAGCAAAGGAGGAGGAGAGGAAGGCAAAGGAGAAAGAGGGGAAGGTGAAGCAGGAGGAGAGTGAGGCAATGGAAGTGGAGGGAAAGGTGAAGGAGGAGGGGGAAGGTGCTGCATGAAAGGAGCATTGTGGGGGGAAGGGCAGGGAAGGGAATGGAGATGCCTGCAAGCAGGAGGACTGCTGCCCTGGGAGTACCAGAGGTTAGGCTGATAAGTGTTTTGATTTGGGACTGGATACTTGAGTGCAGAGCAGTGTGTTGGTGCCGTGATCCGATTACAAGGGTTGACAGGAGACCTACTACATGAATTGATGTAACAGGACAGGTGGGGCTTGGGCATTGGCAGGGAGGAACGGTTCGCAAGCAGGCCTGCAGCTGCAAGCGGCTCACACAATCGCAATGGGCAAAGAAGCAGAGGCCATCTGCGAGCGGGGATGTCGGAACAGGGTGGTTCATTATGGTTAGTGTGGGTGAGCTTGCAGGAGCAGCGCTACAACAGTCGTGTTGGGCTGAGTGCCCCTTAGGATCTTTGGTAGGGTTAATCTCTGGGTAGAATGATGTAGTAGCGGAAGCGTTAACAAAGAGATTCTGAACCACCTTGCGCTAGTATGTGAGGGCAAAGTAAGTTGATTGAAGCAAAGAGATACAAGAATATATAAGAGTACAAGGAATGAGAAGAGATACGGTTGTAACTACTTTTACTGTTGCTGTTGCGGTTCGATACAGTGACGACTCGGGCAACTGCTCTGTAGCGAGTCAGTTGTGTGTCCTTACTGTCGCGCTGTACTTGTCAGGTCAAAGGTCGTTGACCTTTGACTTTCGAGTAACCTCCAGCGGTTACTTCAACCTCCGAGGGTTGACTCGCCGGTGCTTCGGTATGCTTCGCTTCGCTTGTGCCTTAGTGTTTCGACACGACAGAGGCGCTTAAGACCGATTATTTCCAACACTCCCCTTCGCTTCTGGAGTGTCGCTGACGTGGCTCTGTCCAGTCAGCAGCATGCAATATTCGAATTTCTGCTTTCCGAGCTTCTTGGTCAGGTAGTCAGCTGCCATTTCGGACGTGGGGCAGTATGACAGCTCGAGCCTTCCCTTCTCGATCTCGTCCTTCACGAAGAAGTATCGCAGGGCGATGTGTTTCGTCCTGTTTGCAAAACCGTTCTTGTTGGCGATGCGAATTGCCGACTGGTTGTCGCAGAACACGGTAAAGTTGGGTAACTCGGCTAACTTCGCTTCTTCCAGCAGCTCGCGAAGGTAGAGTCCTTCCTTGGTGGCTGAGCAGAGTGCAATATATTCTGCTTCAGCTGACGAGAGAGCAATTAGTTCCTGCTTGCTCGATTGCCAGGAGATGGGCCCGATAGGCTCGAAGCGATAGATGTAGCCGGTGCGTGATCGTCTGTTGTCGGAGTCGCCTGCGCGATCTGCGTCGACGTAACCAATTAGCTTAGGTGGCGTGGTCGCGTTCTTGTGATATGTTAAGCCGATCGTTGGCGTACTGACAAGATAGTGTAGAGCACGGTCGAGTTCGGCCATGTGTTTTGCTTCAGGCCTCTTGAGATGAGTGGCGAGCTGGCTTGCGGAGTATGAGAGGTCGGGGCGGCAGGTAACAGCTGCGAAGAGAAGGCATCCTAGCTTTCTCTGGTAGTCGCGTATCCCGGCGGATTTGAGTAGAGTAGATCCTTCCTCGTGGTTTCCTGTCGCGTAGCGGTAGGGCGTAGAGATGGTGGTAGGCGTGAGCGCGAAGCGTTTGGCGATGGTGTCGGCGTACTTAGTGGCGTTGAGGTAGATCGCGTCTTCTTCCTCTCGAATGTTCAAGCCGAGGTACTGTGTGACGGTACAGGAGACCGTGAGTGTGAGGTCCCTTTGTAACTCCCCTTCGAACCAGGTGGTGATGTCGTCAGTGGAGCCGATGTAGAGTAGGTCGTCTACGTAGACGATCAGCAGGATGTAGTTGGTACCCTTCGTGAGTCGGTACATTCCTTGGTCGTGAGGTAGTTGGCGGAATCCGATGCGAATGAGGCGAACGTGTAGGTACTGTTGCCACAGCCGCGGGGCTTGTTTGATTCCGTAGAGCGATTTCAGTAGCTGGCAAACCTGGTTGGGCTCCCCGTTGATACCGTGTGGGAGCTCGACGAAGATTTCTGCGTTGACGGCTGCGTAGAGGAATGCGTTAGTGACGTCGATTTGCCGCAACTTCTTCTTCTTCATGGCAGCGATCGCGAGGAGGATTCGAAGTGAGGTATGTCGGCTAACCGGGGCGAATGTCTCGGTGAAGTCCCGTCAGTGCTCCTGATCGAATCCACGCACAACCCAGCGTGCTTTGAACTTCTCAATTGTGCCGTCTGCTTTTGTTTTAACGCGGAAGACCCATTTCCCGGTGAGAATGGTCTTGTTCCTTGCCACGTTGATGGGGACAACTTTCCAGGTGTTCCGTTCCTCCAGCGCCTTTAACTCTCTGTCCATGGTTTCACGCCATTTTTCCCTGTGTTCCCCCCCCCAGAGCCTACTGAACCGTCGCAGGCTCCTTAGGAAGGGTGATGCCGTGGACTGCGGTGACGAGGCCGAGTATCTGCAGTCCAGTCTGTGAGTAGCGGGTAAGAGTTGCATCCTCGGGATAAGCTGCTTCATCTCCCGCTTCTGGATCAGGTATGAAATTCGGTCCTACTCGTTCTGCTTCGTTGGTGTTGACTGTCGGAGGTGTTACGTAACCATTGACGGCGAAGTAGTAGAAGGTTTCGGCGTTGACACTTTCGCGAGGGTTGTCTTCGTCCATGGGAACGTCGACGGAGCAGAACGGAAGAGGTCCGGCTTCTTCTGACGCGTTGTCCACATTCTGCTCGTCCCAGTCAGCTTCGTCTTCTGCGGAGGCGAAGGCTCGGTCGCCATGAAAACCACCCGTGGGATCTTGGTCCTCTTGCAGGTTGGCAGGGTACGTCTGGAGCGTGAGTCGTTCGTAGAAAATGACGTCACGTGCTGCTACTGTTTCCTTGGAGTGGACGTCGAAGATTTTCCACGCGTTGTAGTTCTTTTCGATGCCGAGGTGTAGTCCCCACTGTGCGCGTTGTGAAAATCGGCCCGCTCGTGCTGCTGGGGGTCGATAGTGTACCATGCATCTGAACACTCGTAACATTTTTGTGCTGCCCTGTTTCCCTGTCCACAGCAGATGCGGTGATGCGTTGTTCAGAAGCGATGATGACGACAGCAAGTTGTGCAGCATGACAGCGTGGTCCATTGCTGCAGGCCACTGGTGGTTGGGTAGCCGCATGCCACGTAACAGTTTGTGCATGCTGTTCTGCAGAGTCCTGTTCATTCTTTCTGCTACACCTTGCTGCTGATGGGCGTACGGAAGAGAGAGGAGCTGCTTGATCCCCCTTTCTGCCAGGTACTGCTTGAATCGCTGAGAGGTGTATTCTCCTCCTCCGTCTGACTGGAAGCTTTTCAGCTTTACGCCCGACTCTCTCTCTGCTACTGGTAGCCAAGCAGCGAATGCTTCGAGGACCATGTTACAGCTGGGTAGGTTTAGGTGCCAGACGTAATGGGTGGCGGCGTCGATGAAGGTGATTGTGTAGTTGTAGATTACTTGTCCTGGTTCGCGATTGTACAGGATGTCGCTATACACCTTTTCGAGTGGTGCGTACGCGGGTGCGCTCGGGTTGTGACGAGGAGCGAACGGACGATGTGGTAAGTCGGCTTCGGGGCAGGTAATGCATGTTCCTTGTGCCCGTTGGAGTTCTCTGCCGTCAAGTAGTAGTAACGAGTCCTTGTCAAGGACTCCTGCTCTTATTGTGTTGTTTAACACAGTGTTGCTTGGGTGTCCCATCCTTGCGTGCCAGGTGCTTTCGTCGGCGCGATGTCCGGGTGATCGTCGGTACATATCGGAGTTGAAATAGAAGCTGGTGGTGAAGTTAGCGCTACGATGAACTTCTCGTGGTGCTGGGTGGAGCTGTTGTATTGGTGTTGTTGGTGTTTCGTCAACGAGGACTGGTGTCGTTGTTGCTGCTACTGTTGATGACGTCTCTGCTGCTGCCGATGATGTCTCTGCTGCTGCTGATGTTGTCTCTGCTGCTGCCGATGTTGTCTCTGCTGCTGCCGATGTTGTCTCTGTTGCTGCCGAATGTTGTATTGTTACTAACGCGCGTGTTCGTTCTGCTTCAGGAATGGTATGTGAATACCAAAAACCTTCCGGGCTGAAGTCTGGATCAAGGTCTGGAGGATGTGTCCAGTCGGTGAAGTTCACGATGGCGTCGCTGTCTGCGGTGCCCAGGTCTGGGACGAAGTCGAGGACGAAGACATTGTTCTTCAGAACCGCCTTTCCGATGTAGAGGCCGCCCTTCCCATGGTACAGCTTGAACTCCTGGGTGGTACTGTCGGCTTCCAGGTGTATGCCTTTCGTCATCAACTGACTGACGCTCAGTAAGTTGTAGCCGAGTCCCTCCGCGATTAGTACATTTGACATCTGCAGTATAACATTTGTCTCTCGTGACTGAAGTTGCACTACTCCTTGTCGTCGTGTGCGCAGGTTCTGGTTGTTGGCGACTGTGATGACGACCTCTCGTTGAAGTCGGTGCTCGCGTTGGACAAAGCGTCTCGAGGAGCACATGTGCTGTCCGCAGCAACTGTCCAAGAACCATGTGTCTTTCCCGGACGGTTCGCTTTGAGCGATGGCGGCGTACGTCGGGTTCGGTTGAAGTGACTCGCGGCGAGGCGTGCTGTTGTCGAGTTGTTCTTCCGGTGAGTAATATGGTGGTGACTCAGTTACGCAGGAGTCGCTCAGCCTTGCCATGCAGCTGATGATGTTTCTTGTTTCTTTCGCAGGTTGTCCCGTCGATGTTGTTGAGACTTGTACCGAAGTTGTCGGATTTTCTTGCGCTGAGGCGACTTGACTGCTTGAAGGGCGAAGTTGGCATTGCGGCGTCGTTGACTGTTGTCGATTCGGGCAGTGCGTACGAGGATGCCCTGAAGTCTTGCAGAGGTGGCAGAACGGAGGTACGATTTTCGGTCGACTGTTGTTGTTGTTGTGGCGCCGTTGAGTGTGAAACGCGAATTCGGGTACTGATACCTTTCTCTTGTGTCGTTCTTCTTGCAGGTCCATGTCTTGCTGCTCAGCATGGATTTCGGCGCAG